TTTTTTTTTTTTTTTTTGCTTTCGACTCTATAAATAAGCATAAATAATCACTATCATTCTTAACGAAAAGTATCGTTTCATTATCCCCCAACATCCTTTATATACCTTTTTGGTGAATGTTATCTATGACCCTTTACGTTGAGACGTTTAGTTTTATAGGATACGGTTGATCTTCTAGGGTGGATATTTTGCTGTCTATTATCTATCTATCGACAGAAAGTTAGACAAACTTATCTAAAGCCAAATTTCCAAATCTTTACCTAGTAGATATATACTATATAGAGGCATTAATTCATACCTTATCGCCTCTGCCTCACAAGCAGTTCTACAATACGAAAACCTGACAAACATACTAAACTCGCCAGATTTCCCATACTTTGCTTTTATATGCGAAAATATCAGGTTTTGGTTGGGTCGTCTAGAATTTAACCGAATCTAGAGACAAGCACGTCTTACAAACAGTTTATATACCCTGGCATCATCTTTCCTTGACATTATTCTTGACGAAAACAACCATCCTATGCTTCACGAAAACCTAAGATATAAATATCTTATAATACTCTGCCACGAAAGCTATAGATTCTATAAACTTTTCCGTCTGACAGAAAGCCATACAGATAGAGACTACTCCTTCACTATGTTGATTATACCTTAAGAATTGAGTGTCGAATTCGAACGTACTTATAGAGCGCTCATACGTTTCAAACGTAACTAAAGCATCATTAAGTGGTTCTACAATTTCGTTTGTTATATATAATACGTTAAGTCTACAATCGATACTATAATCAACCTCAATCGTTGTATTATACATTTTATATTTATAAACCTAAACGTCTGTCAATATAGTTTGAACGTTGACTATACCATGGTTGCTTGCGAACGCTCCATTTTGAAGCAGGCCTTGAAGCAGATCTAGGACCAATAATAAGCCGACAGAATGGTGTTAAATCTGGACGACTGGCTAGAATTCATTCTCACCCAATATAAAGTCGATCGAAATGACATTCTTCGACAATTATACTATATAAGACAAACAAATAATCTAGACTTTCTACCGTCGAACCATATCATCTATAAAAATATAATCAAATACTTAGATATATTGATTAAATTCAAGGGCAAAAAGCCGATACAAAAGAACTGGTGGACTCAAACAAACAAGGGACAAACAAAGTGGCTGGCTTTTCTTCCCCTTCCCTTATATTGGGCCGCCAGAGTTATCGAGAGGTTCTATGGCCACCGAAAAAATAAACCGTTATATAGTATATTGGAAAGGAAGGTTAACGAACTCAATATCCGATGGTATATCGAAGGCAATATACTGCCGGAATTAGGTTACTGGAGATTGGCAAACATAAAGAGTAAGTACTTTCATCAGCCTTATAGACTGGATATAGAGGGTAAAACTATCGTTAGTCTGGTAGAAAAGTTTAGGAATGAGACTATTAACATATCTTCACTGATCGAATCGACGACCAAACAGACAAAACCTAGAAGAGGAAAATAGACTATATAAAAGGTAAAGGCTTAACCGACCGTTGATAATGATGATAATGATGATAACAAGCCTTCTAAAACGGCTTAGTCTTCGACAAATAATCCTTCTCCCTTACCTTCGAAACCTTAGCTAGAGTCAACGACGTAACAGTCGCTCGTCGATCTTGATATGCCTTTATAGGTACCAGCCCTAGAACTTCCGACGTAGAATATTATATAAAACTTTAGACTGATTAATGTAGCGTAGCCATTCGTTAGATAAGGCCTGTTTGTCGTATAGCTATAGACAATAATACTATAATCAATCGTATCGACAAGACTATAAACTTCTATAGGTTAACCATCGGCTATGACTTTCGGCAGTCTGGCATAGAACCCATTTTATATAGCCAACTTTGGAAAGATTATATAATCGTTGGCTCCACTATACCTCTCTATATTCTCTAGCATTTTGAGTCTCTAACTATAACGAAAGAGAAAGCTTTTCGCATTGGATACTGATGCTAAGTTACCTTCGGCTATATCGGACAGATTGGTGGACGAAAAGCCTTTTAGAGTGGCTAACACTCTAAAACATATGACTTAAAACGAATTCAATATGTATACAATGGCCAAATTGGACACTCTTTAAAATGTGGTGGATATCTTAAAGAAAGATCTGATCGATATGAAGGTGAAGCTTGAACAGAAGATATAGCCTTTAGGAAATATAGATAAGCTAAACGAACGAATTAATAGACTTTAGACAAATATTGACGAATTATAAAAGTAGACTAAATAGTAGACAAAACTATAGCTCGAACTTTAACAGAAGATAGACAGACAGACAATATCTTATACTATTATGATAGTTATATAGAATAAACTAGACAGTGTCGACGACTCTATTTTGTCAGCAGTCATATATAGACTATATACGAACGGAACCCTACTTTAGCTATTCTACCAACTTCTTGACGAACCTATAATCTAGCAAAGACTATAAACAATGATAGTATAGTCGATACACTAAGGTTTCGATTATTTGGCATAATAGTAAGTACTAAACGCTATAGAGTAGTAGTATACGTTCGACAAACAAGACCTTTAGTTTGATGGTTATACTAACGTATAGCCTGCTATAAAACAAACCAACGAACCAGATGACAGATAGTAGGTTGACGAATAGAGTATAGGAAAGTGAGGAATAGAGTGTCGGAAAGCAAAGCATGACGAAGGATATTGATATTTATGATAAAGAAATGTTCGTTTGCTATGATATGGCTATGTCGATAAGAGTATCGACTTTTTTCGTCAGAGGGTATTATTGTAAGGATGGACGGATGAAGACATAGCTTACATAAGCCTTTCACTAGCCTCACACTAGCTCTTACTTAGCTTACCACTTCTTAGAAAGATATAGCTTTACTATAGAACAACAATACATTACGAATGTATAGTATAGCTTCAGGAAGCCTACGTGGAGCGTAGCCGGTCAAGCCCGTGATACTATCCTATTCCGCCGGACGTAAGCCTTACAACCAGCATCTCGCCACCTTGTACTCTGCCCTCCCGCCAGAGTCAGTGGGATCAAAGTCATGGCCATAGCGGCCGTTAGGATCAGGACACCGATAACATCAAGCTCCCAGAAGAGCGTTCGAAGCGAGCGTAGCCGGAAAGGAGACGGGGCTGGCTCTAGTTCGGTACGCCTCTTTTTTGCTTGACGCCCGAGGATAACCATGGTGAAGATAAGAGGCAGAGCAGATACTGGGATCATAATAGCGAACATTCCTATACCCCACTTCCAAGTGGTTTGTGAAAGAACCGCCGAGGTAACATTTCCGCTAATCCACGTGTTGAGGAGAAATGGCCAATTCGGAACGAAGGCAAAGAAGAGTCGGGTCTTAAGAGAGGTTATGTCGGCGATCATAATTTCGATCGTCAGCACCGAAAGTGTGTATCCAAGTTGATACAGGACAGCACCGCCTGCAAACCCTTGGACGTTGACGGAGAAGGTCTCGATGATTGTTCCGGTTGTGCTGAGTATTACGGCGACGGTGAAGACTTCGATGCGGCCAAAAACATCAGTCAATCTAGCTGTCGATGGCTGAACAGCAGCGGCCACCACTCCCCGGATTACGTTGATCGTTGATAACAGCGAATGATTTTGGAAGGACGAAGTAGCGTACGGGACGTACGAGCTACGCACCAGGAAGTCCAGGCCGAGTATATAGCTGACGAAGAAAATGCTGCTAAAAACAATCCATCTCTTTGTGGTCGTCATCTGCGAGGCGACAGCCTCCATTCGAATGACGCCTGGCGAGTTTTCATAATGCCCTCTTTGCGAGACGGTTTGGGTGGTGCTAGTGTGGACACCTGCTTGGCCAGGAGCCCGCTCGTTCAGCGCTTCATCCATTGTAGACTTCTTGGCGTTTACTACAAGTACAATATAAAACAAGCGATTCCTGGCTTAGAGAGAGGGAAGGGGTAAGGTCTCACTAGCGTCTAGCTAATGACACTCTCAGTAGTACATGCGTGATCTGTAGAAGAACGCTGCGTTTCAATAAAACCAATTGAGTGCTAGCAAAAGACTGCCTGCAGGTCGTACGCCTTATAAGATCAAAAGGGAGTTCTAGATGACGTTATATAAGATAGAGAGGAGGGAGCCAGCGGACTCGCAACCACCACCTACATATAGGCACTCCCCGGAACGTTTCCGTCCTAGCGACACTCAATCCACCAGGGTTTTCGTAATAAAATGGAGCTTAGAGCAAATAAGACAAGCTTGTATTGCCCAGTCTAGAACTATTGGTCAGGTCAAGCCTCGCTATGCCTCAGCGTTGTAGCTGCCCAGACGAACTAGTCAGGTACTTCTAATTCTAATCAGATGATCAGATAATTCACAATTAGCGACAGGATCCCATTCGCCGATATCGGGTTTGAGATTTTATATGCGGAATGAGGCCATTGCTTCGGAGAATGATACTCTTGCCTCAAAAGGAGGAAGCAGCATTACCTCTAGGCATACTATTAAGACATAGAGGACTCCCGCTCTGTTGAGAGAGAGAGGGAGAGAGGGAGAGAGGCGAATGCGAATGCATTTAGAAGCTAATTAACGGCTAACGCCTATACTAACTACAAAGTCACTAGAGTTCTACGTCGGTATTCAGGACTGACCAAACTACGCATGGTTCTATCTGGAATGAGAGCCTAGAATACCGCCTATAAATTCATCGCAGAAGAAGCGGAACTTCATCTGAATTTGAGATATTTACTTGAGCCCATTCATTCAGGTTAACTACAACTTGGAGATCTCTTTCCCCCCAATGTCCTCGATTATCATCTCCGCACACCTCTCTCCAACACCAAGCACAGTGAGCATGGGATTGATCGTCGGAATAGTAGGGAACACTCCAGCATCCGCAATACGCAGCTTCTTCAGGCCTCTAACCTTGAGCCTCTCGTCCACAACCGCCATATCGTCATTCTTTACATCTCCCATCCTCGTCGTACCAGCCGGATGATACACGGTATGCGCCGCCTTACGGGCATAGTGGCTGATCTCCTCATCTGTCTGCACCTTCGGGCCAGGCGCCACCTCCCGCTTGATCCAGTCCTTGAAAGGGGCTTCCTGCGCCACCTTGCGCGCTGCCCTGATACCGTACACGAGCGTCGCGGCGTCGTAGCCCTCGGGGTCTGTGAAATAGCGGAAGTCTAGAGCCGGCTTGACGCTCGGGTCGGAGGAGGTCAGGTACAGGCGGCCTCGAGAGCGCGGTCGCGGGATGTTTGGTGTCATGCAGAATGCGTAACCAGAGGGGATGTCCTCATAGCCCAGTCGTATCGTGTTGAGTGTGAAGGGGATCTGGTAGCAGTGCATCATGACATCGGCAATGTCGCCATCAGCAATGCCCTTCGGATTGCCAGGGAATTTGTAGCCTGCAGCGTTGGGCGCCTCGCGGCGGAGGAAAATGCCGGCATCCGAGTCCATGGTAGTCTGATTAGAAGGCACGGGCTGGTGGAGTTCCCACATGATGATGCTCTCGGGATGATCCAGAAGGTTCTCGCCCACGCCAGGGATATCCTTCACAACAGGGATTCCTAGGGGTGCGAGTTGGTCTTTGGGTCCGAGTCCAGAATGGAGCATCAGACGAGGGGTATCAACAGCTCCAGCACAAAGAATCGTCTCTGCTCTAGCATTGACTGTGCGCTTCGTTCCATCTCTGAGCGATACATTCACACCAGTCACCACGTCATCCTTGATGTTGATCTTTGACACCCATGCATTCGTGAGGATCGTCAGATTTGGTCGCTCCTCCTCTCCGCGCAGGATAGGGTGGATGTATGCGACCGAGGCGCTCGACCGCCGGTGGTCATCCGGATTGTAGCTCACGGAGAAGAAACCAACTCCTGGCTTCAATGCGCCAGTCTGCATGATCTGCTTATTAAAGTCATCAACGACAGGGATGTCCATTGCTGCGCTGCATGACTCAACCCAGTCCTTGCACAGCTGATTTCGATGTCGCGCATGAACGGGCTGGACCGTATTACGCAGCTTATTCAGCACTCTCATCATGGTGGGAAAGGTCCAGCCTTTCGCGCCAAACGACTCCCAGATCTTCATGTCATACTCGAATGGCCGGAAAGAGATCAAGGTGTTATGCGATGAGCAGCCTCCCAGAATCTTTGCTCTGGCGTGCCGGATATACGAGTTACCTGTGCAGAGTGAGACGCAAATCCTTCAAATCCTCCACCGCCGCTGCTTCCACAATATGGAGGACGAGTTTGAAAACTTACCCATGGGCTGCTCGGTTGTGAAATAGTCAAAATCCAGCTCGCCGCCCAGGAGACCAAGCCATAGGCGCAAGTCGAGCACCTTGTCGTCCATAAAATCGCTAGGTCCAGCCTCGATCAGGAGGATTTTCTTCTGAGGAAGATGCTCCGCAAGCCGCGATGCAATGACGCATCCGGCTGTGCCTCCACCGACAATGACATAGTCAAAGCGGTCGACTTGCGACGCTGAGAGCCAAGTGGTAGTCATGGTTAGCCGCGGTGTTCGTCAAGTAATGATGTGTAGGTTCGTGTTCCTAATAAAAGAGCCGTCTTTTCCTCAATTGACCGTTTAATATCCTACACGCAATCTCCTGGAATTGCCCCGTATTCATTCACCGCATTGAGTATCGTCGATATGTTGATAAGACAGCGCAGTCGTGCTAATCTTGAAATCTTGAGATGACGAAGGTAACAGTAAGCGTATCTGGTGAAGTTCGAGGGTCGTGGTTCTTTTCCTATTAAAGGCACGCTATCCCGTGTGCCCACCGCCCGCCGCGCTCCGTCGTATGTTGCACTACTAAAGGCTTTTTCAGCTTCAAGACGCCTTATCGAATTGCCGAATAGCGATTGGTTCTAGCTGCGCTGGGCGTGCATAGGAGGGTCCCCGAAAGATCGGCAGAGCTTGGATGCTCCCTTGTTGGGCGGCTTAGGACGGGGGCAGCACGTCACTCAGAAAGTTTTTTCTTTCACCGATACTCCACCTCTTACATACAGTAGATAGCCCGTTTCATAATTTTATCTCCTGCAAATGGTGCTCTGAACACCACCACGAATCGGCGGACGCAATACGTAATACAGCGCCCTGGTGCGAACAGCCTTTTTTCACTCAAGCGGGCCCTTGACCAGAGCTGGTTGGTCTGTGGAGACCCGCTGTGGACACGATACGATTGCCAAGTATTGTACTGCACCCTACCCGGCGAGTCCGACTCGTGCCGGAGTGCATCTTCAGTGGCGCAGGCGGGGGACCTCGGCGTGGAGGATCCGTGTCCTAGACGACCATCATCATCACTATCATCCGGGCTTGAAACGCCCTCAACGCCGGAAGTCAAGTCTCATTGAGTGATAAGGTATCGGAAAGACTCGAGGCTACGGTTGTTTTGGGCAGTTGGAGCTTGCAGGTTTTCCCTCGCCTTCTCTGAGGAGGTCTGATTGACCCTCCTATTAGTGGAGCGTTGGCTTATCTCTGAACTTCATCGGAATTTCCTGACATCGGCAATTCGTTAAGCCATCGATCACAAGCACGATGGCTCCTCAACAAGCAGACAGACACTCGTTCTACGGGGGAAAGTTGCAGCCATCTTCATCCAGTGCTGGCGCGGGTACATTCCAGTCAATTGACCCCTCCACAGGCAAATCAGTGTGCACAATCCACACATCAACACAACAATCCATTGACGCCGCTGTTAGCTCGGCGCAATCCGCCTTCAAGACTTGGTCTCAGACGCCGCCTCCGGAGCGCTCAAGGATCCTGCTCCGGGCTGTGGCTCTACTACGAGAGCGCAACGATGAACTGGCGCGCATTGAGACCATTGACACAGGCAAGCCGTTCTCAGAAACCTCGACCGTAGATATCGTCACCGGCGCCGATGTCCTGGAGTACTTCGCGCACCTGGTTGGCGGCGGTGGATTGAACGGGGAGTTCTTCCGTCTACGCGACTCGGCCTCCGTCTACACATCGAAAGAACCGCTTGGCGTGTGTGCCGCCATCGGCGCTTGGAACTACCCCATACAGATCGCGCTGTGGAAGTCAGCGCCGTGCCTAGCCGCGGGTAACACACTCGTATACAAGCCGAGTGAATACACCAGCCTACATGCGCAGTATCTAGCCGAAATCTACCGCGAGGCAGGCGTGCCAGATGGCGTCTTCAATGTCGTGTACGGTGCGGGCGAAGTTGGCGCATACCTATCAACGCACCCGACGATAGCCAAAGTGAGCTTCACGGGACAAGTGAGCACAGGAAAGAAGGTGGCCGGCTCTGCGGCGGCAAACATGAAGTATGTCACCATGGAGCTGGGCGGAAAGAGCCCGATAGTCGTGCTGCCAGACGCAGATGTCGCACAGGCCGTGGACGGTGCATTCATGGCCAACTTCTACAGCTCGGGACAGGTTTGCACAAACGGCACGAGGGTATTCGTGGCGAAGGCGATGAAGGAAGAGTTCGAGCGCACAGTGCTCGAGAAGATCCAGTATATCCGAGCAGGTGATTTGTTCGACATGAACACAAACTTTGGGCCCCTGAGTAGCAAGATTCACTACGAAAAGGTCGTCAGCTACGTCCAGCACGGAATCAAGAAGGACAACGCCAGGCTTCTTTGCGGTGGTACAATTCAGCCACAAGGCGTTCCCTCAAATCTCAAGACTGGTTACTGGATACAACCGACTGTCTTCGCGGACTGTACCGACGACATGAAGATAGTGAAGGAGGAGATATTTGGGCCAGTCATGTGCATTCTGACCTACTCGACGATCGAAGAGGCAATTGAACGAGCAAACGCCACTGATTTGGGTTTGGCCGCTGGTGTATTTGGCAAGAACATAGACCAATGCCACCGTGTCATTGCCCAGCTGGATGCCGGTATTACTTGGGTCAACACCTGGGGTGAGTCCCCCGCTGAAATGGCCGTTGGCGGTTGGAAACAGAGCGGAGTCGGCGTTGAGAATGGCCGAAGAGGAATCGAAGCTTGGGTTAGGAACAAGAGCACACTCGTCGAGATGGGAGGTGCAGTGCCTACAGTCTTTGCAAAGCTGTAGTAAAATCATTGTATCTGACATGAGCAAGATCATTTTGGAAGAGCAAGCAAGAAGCCACGTTGGATGAGTTGGCAAGGGCCCACTTCTCCAGCCAAGACCCATGGGTTGATTATTTGGTCAGATTGGGCCTAGACCACTATGTCCAATACATCATAAGATACACAATGAGACGCAATACCGTTGTCTCTCTTCACAAAACCCACTTTATAACAGTAAAGCACACTGGTGCCAATAAGACGTGTTCTTAAGACTTTGCTTTATAATTATACAGATGGCAACTCGATGATGCGTACCAGTAGAAACCATATTAACCATTTCAGATGAGACTTACATAAACGGCTTCATCTAAGTATCAAAGATCAAGGAAACGTTGTGTACTCAATACCTGACTATCCTGTCAATGAATACCGACGGTAGTACCTAGCAGCTGCAAGCATACGTGCAAAAGCTGTGCGATAAAGCCGAAAGTATCCACGATGTGTTGCTGTGAGAGCGAGCCTCAACTTTGACTATCTGTCCTCGCACCATGAGGGTCTACGTGGGTTGAGTAATGTTGCCTGTAGTGTTATATATGGGTTCGGGAAGGTACATAATTTTTAGGCCTTGTTTGATACCTAACCATTGTCACTGCTAAACGGTGACAAGCTGGGTCGGTGAGGTGCCGATCCAGACTTACTAATAACGGTGTCTCAAAAATTGAGTTTCGGCCTCCACGGAGACCGCCCCACTTTACAACTGAGCGTTTGGGGAATCGACACGTACAGTGATCTCAGCATCGATATTGTTCATAAAATCTGGTTCAGGTTTAAGCTACTTGGCTACCTAGGAAGGGGTCACCTCGCTTTCGGAAATCGTTGAAGTGTGAACGGTTTGTCAGCCGGTATAACATTGTCCGATATGGGGCGATGGAAGTTGAGCTTAACTCCGTCAATGAGCTCAATGTTTCAATAGATCTATGCCTTCTTTATGTGGGAAGCATGGAATAACTTAGTAGTGTCGAGTACAAATATGATGGGTGTGCGCTTTAAACTCTGCTCTCCACGAAGATCCATAGTAGCACAGACACCCAGTTCATCAAGTTCCCCCCTACCTCAAATATGGCCTCATTGCCCTCTTCTTATAAGGCTGTGGTCGTGCAGAACGCAGGATCTCCATTGGTGCTAAAGGACCTGCCCTTGGGTAATGTCGACCCTGGGCAAGTACTTGTCAAAGTCATCGCTTGTGGAATCTGCCACACAGACGCAGTCATGCAAGCAGGTTACCTGGGAAATACGTTCCCGCGTGTTCCCGGCCACGAGATCGTTGGTGACGTGATCAAAGTGGGCGCTGGTGTATCAGGTATCATTCCAGGAGATCGAGTAGGAGGGTCCTGGCACGGAGGTAAATCCAAACTCTCTTCCTTACGTTTATTTCTTGCTAAACCTTAGTTTACAATTCACGTAGGGCATGACGGAACATGTCGTGAGTGCCAGCGAGGTCTACACCAAATGTGCGAAAAGGAGGAGGCTCTCGGAGTCACCATTGATGGGGGCTTCGCCGAATACGTGTGCATTCTCGCTGAGGCTGTTATCCGAGTTCCCAAGGACATGGATCCCGCCGAAGCCGCACCCCTCATGTGTGCCGGGTTAACAACATTCAACAGTATTCGAAAAATGAGGATTGAACCTGGTAGTGTGGTCGCCGTCCAAGGCCTAGGTGGGCTTGGCCATCTGGCTGTACAGTTCGCAAACCGCATGGGTTTCAATGTTGTGGCCATTAGCTCTGGAAACAGTAAGAGGGATTTCGCCAAGCAACTTGGAGCGCACCAATATATCGATACATCTGTAGAAGATCCCATCAAAGCGCTGAATACCCTCGGCGGCGCAGCGCTGATTGTGGCAACAGCGCCTGAGGCAAAGGTCATATCGCCTCTCGTTCACGGTCTTCGGTCTCAGGGTAAACTACTTGTGCTTGCTCCTGTCGGGAATGTCGAATTTGACACTACCGCACTCCTTCGTCGAGGCCTCTCGATACATAGCTGGCCGAGCGGGACGATTTTGGATGCCGAAGAAACTCTTGCGTTTTCGAAACTGCACAAGGTCAAATGTATGGTTGAAATGTTCCCCCTGAAAGATGTGAACAAGGCAATGGACCAAATGCTTTCAGGAGCTGTTAGATTTAGGAGTGTTCTTATCATGGATAAATAATTACTTATACACCTACATTGGTTGAGAAGGCTCTTCTACAACTAGAAATAACTCCATAGCTGAGTAAAGAGTGGCTCAACGCGTTCCTTGTCTGTTTCAGTTGAGATTATCCCATTCTTTCCATCCCAGGTCTTGTTTGAATAGGGTCTTGTTTCATTAGAGAGACATATAGTATATATGCTTCGAGGTACACTTGAAGAATATTCTCTAGTCCTCAAATGTATATAATACTGAAAAAGCCTTCTTGTTGAACGATGATCTTGAAAGAGGTTTGAGCCAATAGTGAATTAGACTCGAATAATACAGCACCTTCTATAATGATTAACTTTCGATAATCAGGCTTTCTCTAGTTCGATTAGGCATCACACCGCGCACACTAAAGCCGGCATACGTTCCACTAAGGATCACAGGTGTAGAATCCACTTTCTATATGAAATTTAGGATTACGATGCTATAACCCCTCTCGATTGCGTAAATTCCATCATTCACTGCCCCATCCCAGAATCATGACTTCTCTTGCACTCATGGGTTTGATCTCAGGGAATCTCTCATTCAAGGTGTCATTGGTTGTGAAGTTTGCTTGACCTCGCTCACAGTTTAATCCAAAAGCGGATGAAAAGAACTGGAGGTGCTCCTTAGGGTACAGCTCATAGAACTTCCGATGTGAAGGAAGTTCAGTCATTGAACCTGTCTCTAGTTTATCGACGGAATCGTACGTGATTTGAAATTGTGTCCCTAATTATATCAACATCAGAACTCATATTTGCGACAATACACTCTGAGATTTCAATTGCTCACCTTTGATTTCCTGAGCGAGTTGCAACATTTCTTTCCAGGTGAGCTTATCTCCGATAATATACGACTCTCGTGACCATTCATGTAGATCAAGTGCAGCAGCCACAAATTTGGCAATATCAAAAGTGTGCGTAAAAACCACTGGAACATTTCCAGATCCAGGAATGACGGCGGTATCGTAAGCCATATCAATGAAGAATGCGATGTCGTCGACATATGACTTAACTTTAGGAGTTCCAAAGTAATCGAGAAAATAACCATTGTAAACCATTGTCCATTCGAGAGACGAGGACTCTAGCTCTCTTTGCGCTGCTAATTTTGCTATCGCGGGAGGAAATGACTTATACTGCCTTTTGATAAAGAACATTAGTATGTGAAAAATTCAAGTTTTTGTTAAATTGTATGCTGGGCTGAGTGGGAGACGGCATGTGATTTGGTATCTTACTCTTGTGAATAATAAACACCAAAGTAGCTAGGAATGAATCGTTTCACTGTTTTGGCTTTCTCGGCTGCGCGTATAAGGTTTATTTCAGAACTATTGTCCCCGCTAATGTTGTTGACGGTCGATATAACAGTATGGACATTGTGGTTCTCCAATACCGAGGCGAGTGAGTCCACGGCAGAATAATCAACGACTACGAAACGAGGTAAGATCGCTTCCGAGCTTGTTGGAGTCTTCAAGTGTTAGTTCTCCACATCAATTCGACAAGTGCCGGGAATTATCACCTTCCTTGTTAAGACCACCAGCTCATGATTGTTCCGAGCTAGAACAGCCTCAACAATAGCACGACCGAGACCGCCAAAACCTCCAGCTATAGCTACAGACATGTTAATGTTGAATGCTGCAGTGAGGAAATTATGTCGGAGAAAATAGTTAAGTAGTGGTATTCTGTGGGTTAAAACAGTTCAGTGTCGGTGCCTGGGAATTTGGCTTATTTATGGAAAGTTATCATGACTTTGACAGCACTTCCTTCTTAGGATCATTGGGATCCACCAGCCAGAAAGTCGTCATCTACATATTTCATCGAGCATGGCCCACAAAATCCACCCGGCCGCAGAACTCGGTCTCCGCGAAGACCGACGACAAGTATTGCCAATCGTTGAGCAAAACCTCACCGAGGTCGGGAACGAGCTCGGGGTGCCGATACAGCTCGGCGCTCATATTGACACTACTAGCTTTGCTACTAGCTAAAATAGCCTTATTGACCTTTATGGGAATGATTTAATCAGGAAGAACAACTTGGTCCTGCAGCTAAGCCAGTGTCGGTGGTGGCGTAAAGACGCTCCGGGATAGGTGCGAGAATTCAGCCCTTCCAGTAAATGTTACACTTAGCTTCTATCACAAGACCTTTCAGTGGAACGTCAAGATTTGGCTACGTTTGGGTAGGTTCTTATGATGAATAATAAGACCAGCCGCCTTTCAAAAAGGGAGTTGAAGAGACCCTAAAACCTGCTGGGGACCGAAATAACACTCATCCAACTGAGAATAGACTAGAGCTTGAATACCCTGGCTAGAATCCATTGTAATCTCCTCGGGAAATAAGAAACCCGGCCCTAGTGTACCTTGCTCGAGATTGAGATTACTGGCCATATTAGGTACGTTCATTTGCCCTTGAATCCTTTTCTCCTGGCTAAAGCGCGCAACCTCATATAACACCTGACTAGTACGATGAAGCCTTTTTATGGGAATCGAGATGTCAGTTGACGCTTCTAGCGATTTCACAAACCTTCCAAGCCTATGAAGGTCATCTATCTGGCCAGTCCTGATGAGCTGGCCAAATATGACAATGAATGGGATAAAAGGTGACTGCAGAATCCGCCTTGGTTCGAGTTAGCAGAGAATCATATTTTGTGTCTCTTCCGAGGCCATCTCATCTGGCTTACCAATGCAAGTAAACGGATCTATGGTGGCGATTCTTATTTGTGATCTGCATGCATTCTTCATGGGCTTGGAGTGCCTTCCTCGCATAATCTACGCAATCCGGCGAAAAAGTAAATGATATGTCATTCAAAGTTTTCGCTCTACATATCAGGGTTGCTGTACTGTAGTAAGTGACTTTGTTAGAAAATGCAAGCATTTCGTCTAAGGTAATGTCTGGCCACCCGGAAGGATAGCTATCGAAACCCTATTCATTTTTAGTCATTTCTTTTATTCGGGTGAAACGCCCTCTCTATAGTGATAGACATTGCTGGAGAATAGGAGATGGAGATAACGGAGAAGGGTTAAGAGGTGTCTCACATAAGAATTTTGCAACCCAAGAGACTTCAGTTCTTCCAAAAGGTTTTCTGCTCGTGCCAAGAGAACGTTTTCCGGCGTCGAAAGTGCTACCTTACTGTATAGATGCTCGTACAACTTTCCTTGGATTTTGGCGTTTCCTACCCAAAACGAAAGCATTCCCGGCCACGGTTCGGGGAGAGAGAGCTCGCTGAGACGACCGCTCAGCGTGATATCGAAATCATGGATGGCCGAGGCACGCCCCAGGCGAATAGAGAGGCCCCTCTCCAGAGAATATACGTGCCAAAATAACAAGGTCTTGGTTCTTCTGACTTGTTCATCATCATCTAACATTCCGGAGTCGTTGTCCCATCCCATAGTGATGCAGATGTGCGCAGCTAGTCCTGCCATTCGCCACGCAAGCCAGGGTTTTGACATCTCAATGGCGTGAGATGACTACCAGTAGACATTAGCAACAGGACCCAGTGATCACGGCGGTACTTACACCCAATATAAGTGCCTGAACGCTGTCCATCCGCGCTGGTAAGAAAGCCCCAATGGTTGTCAATGCGGCTTCAAGAGCATGTCTGCAAAGAAGCCCGTGATCACGGTATTGTCCGTGAGAAGGATCAGAGCTGGAAGCAGGGAAAAACTCTGTGAAGAGGTAGTATAACCCAGACATGACAATAATAAAGTCAACATCAGAATAGTCTTCTATCGCGAAAAAGACGTTTCGACATAGGTCGATAAAACGATCAACAGGAATAAAGCACCGTAAGACAAAGAAGCTAGTCGGTGGTGTGTCTAAAGAGAGCTCATATGGTGAGACGAGATCAATGAATGACAGTCGACGATTTAGAGCCGAGCATACCTTTGACCCTTCTCAAGATGTCCACAACAGCAGATGCAGGCGGCAGAGGCATTTCGCGGCAAGCAGAAACAGCATGTGTTGTGGATTGCAATTCTTTTTGGACTGGTGGTATCCCTGATGCTTGCTGCAACGATGCCATCAATGTGTTATCAGATCCAAGGTCCACAGTAGCCTCAGCAAACCGTTGTGCGCCAGCAGCGTGGGCTTGAAAAGATGAGGATCCCTCACAGGTAGATGTGGCGTCATCCTGATCAAAGACTGAAGGATAATGATAAGAAGGCTTGAGCTGTGCCGGAGAGGTCGACAAGCCGAGCGTCCCTTCTTGACGGGGATTGACACGGGCGTCGACCAGTAACGCTTCAATGGCGCGAAGCCGCTCTTCAATCAAATCTATCTTCTTTTCACTATAAAGAGAGCAGGGTTAGTCCTATCATTATAATGACTGTGAGTCGTTTCGATGTATGTGAGCAAAGCAAAACCTGCTGGGTAGGTATGGGGGATCATACTAGCGGGCTGTGATGTGCACTCTGTGCTGTGGTTGCTTGGGCTTCTGTCCGGCTCTTGTGAAGGTACAGGCCTGCCCAGACACGCGACAAGCGGCGCATGGCACGCCTCTGTCGCATCGAACCTGTTTTACCGCGAATCCTTGTTTAGCGCAAGCACAAGATGAGTTTCCGGCTCGAGGCGAACTATGGTTTGGGCCAGATCATGGCTTATTTCTACATCGGTGTTTGACTTACTTTTCGCAGCCGGCACACGTCGCACTGCAGGGAGTTGGTTATACGCTAAGCTCTCATACGATGGGGGAAGCTGGGCTTTCTTACCGCTGTTCCTTTAGATCCGTCCATCACCCCAGTCGCTGATTCAATATAATTATCCTGACCACGCCATTGAGAAGCTGTATTAGAATAGGATCTTTGGGCCTGCGTTTCTACTCCAGCAGGCGAGGAGACCCTAGTCATCGACTCAATTAGTCAATATGTCGTCAAGCTAAAGGAGAAGCAGTAGTGTAGGAATTACCAATCAGAGTGGAGGTGGCTGAGGTCCCGTCGGCCTCCGAGGGGGCCGATTAGTTCATTGCGTCATTAGATCCGGACCTCACCTTGTCTTGAGGCCGAGACATGCCCCTGGAACCCCAGTTGTTGCGTACAGCCCTCACGGCAATTGGGAGTAATCAAAGCCTCATCTACCATCCTTGAGAATTTCTACGATTCTATACTTTAATAATCCTAAGAATAAAAAAATTCGGATTATGACCATGACAGTTGCGCGGAGTATCGTTTCTCTAACCTTTTTTTGTTGTGGAAATATTATAGGGATTATTACATAAAAACTGTCACTTGGAGATATATAAATCGCAGATAGCGAATTTGAAATACCCTAGAGCATCGCAGGCAGACCAAGTGTGGTGGGCATCTATCTTATTCCTATTGTGAGCTTAAATCTAGTGGTGTCGAAATCGACATAAGTGTGCTCATGTTAGAAATTGGCAAAAGTGCCGTAGGTGGCCTGTATAAACCCCGTCAGTCTTTTTGGTTCTAGCGGTAATTCTTCTCTGATAGGGCAACACTTCTCGGCGTCTCTGGCCAGTGGCTATTCCTTGGGGGTGTGTCTGGTACAATGCAACGGCTTGCTGAGGACTTCGCACTTTGGCTAGTTGTATGTTAGGCCCGTTTATCACATCTGCTTCACTACTGAGGAATAAGTATGAGGAAAGCTAAGAATGAGTGGCGACGTGCCTGAGCATATGACGGCCGGAAGGGGGATGCTGATTACCGCAGCGTATTTATGCTTGACTTATGATGTCGTGATCGGGCGACATTTCTAACCCTACTCTAACGGTGTAAGTTTAACGGTTATCGTTGTTTCTGAGATCAATTTTCTGGTTGGATTTGATCAATCTTTCAAATTTGTTGGTAGGCAAGGTAGTTGGGCCGTTACTCTCTGGACACATGCATATGTCAAGTTCAACCCGAAGCTATGTTCTTACTTCAATTTAGATGGGCTGTAACCTTGCAAAATGTGCTGCATATGATCGGATAATGTCATTGAATGAAGTTTATCGGAAATACATCATGCGGTACAATTGAGCCTAGTGAAGTCAAGATGATATGGGAACACGAAAGAGTTAATTGGCGTGCCCGTTCGTATATCCATTGATTAAGCCACTGGAATCTGCGATCTCCGCCTCCTTATATGCATCATATCCGTATAGCCAAGGGGAGAACACCGGTTCCCTCCAAAGAAATGGGTCGCCGTTACAGCTCTCTTCAGCCCCGATCATGCTATCGCGGCGCTTTTGCTCCTCTCCGTCTGGCAGATGGTACCAGTACTGTTGACCTTTGGCAGCTCGCACGACCTTGGTGCTACGCGGCCGCCTCAGAATTTCGTATTGGGCTAGAGCTGCCGCCAGCGGGATTGACTGACTCAATACGTGGCCCAGGACAGCCGCGTCCTCCAGCGCCATTCCCGCACCTTGGCTGAGATACGGCAGTGACGGGTGAACGGCGTCGCCAAGTAAGGTGAATCTCCCAGCAGGGTGATTCCACTTATCCAGCTCTGGTCGCATATGCAATTTCCATCGCCATATAACGTCGTCATGAGAGTTGGCAATCAGCTTGCGTAAGACTGGGTCCCAACCACCAAATTTCTGGAGGGTCTCCTCCTTAGATAATGGGGCCCGGATTACATCGGGTGGCAGGTCGTCGGGAGCAATTGCCACGATATTAATCTGCCGACCACCTTTGAGGATGTACACGATGGCATGACCTTTCGGCCCTAACCAATAGGTGACTTGGGGATTCTGTGTAAAGTTCTTGAGAATCTCATCATCCTGATCTAGCCTTTCCATATCGAGTAAAATACGGAAGGCGATATCACCAGTATATTCTGGAGCATCTGTAACAACGAATTTTCTCCTCGTGATCGAGTTCAAGCCATCTGCACCAACCACAAGGTCCGCAGTTAATCGATGCCCCTTCTCCAATATTACCGCCCCAGATTCAAAGTCAACGTCCACAACTTTGGAGCTGACCCTTATATCAGCACCCAGCTCCAGTGCTCGTTCATACAGTGCAATGATAAGATCATGTCGGTGTATGTCCCAGAATGGGGCGCCATAGGTCTTGTTATGGTAAGCACCAAGTTCAAGACTCGCAAGTTGGCTACCATCTTTGTATCGCCGCATGATGCAATTTGATGGCTCCACAACGTCCTTTATGATGGCTTTGTCGATGCCCCATTTGTTCAATATTCGTGTTGCATTTGCCGAGAACTGCAGGCCTGCACCAATCTAATGGCATTATTAGTTTGTGACTTCTCAATTTGCAGGGGCCTGCAGGCATGGTTGCTCAGCCCACCTCTTCAATCTTTTCTGCCGACTCAAGTACTATCACAGAGTGCCCTGCCAGACGTATTGATATGGCCGCCGCAAGACCACCAATCCCGCCACCTACAATGATCACCTGTAGTGATGGCTTGGCCATTGTTTTGGTAGAGATCTCATCGACCTTGGAGGAGAGAAATGACCGAAGCCAGCCAAACATCGTTCGTAGAAATTGTGCAGAAAACTCATACGGACTTCCTCCGTATGACTCGCTTTTCCTTGAACGTACCGGTGCCGAGCATTTCATGTACGCTTTTCAACCTATAGCCGCCTGATGCTTTGCCCATCTCCCGTCTGCCGGCCGGTGCACATCAATAAACCGGGTCCTCGGGTCCATGCTATAATCCTTTGAAGCAGAAAGATCCAAGCAAGTTGATTATTTCCGCGTTCTGTCTGCCGTTAGCCGCAGGTAAAGATGGACGTTGCCATTTTGGGCAATCGGGGGACTGGGATCTCCCTTGTGAATCCCCACAAGTCTTATCAGTCAGGTATCCTCGAATATTAGCTTGACAGGTATCCTATCAGCGGCTATCGGTAGCTCGAAGAATACGCACATTTTAGAGCTCAATTAGATAGCAACATAATTGTATCACCACGGGTATATCTCATGCGCCTACTTGATTACTGTGTTGCTGCGTGATGACTGCTCCTATTCTTCAGCAGGCTGTCAAGTCTTGAGCCTCCCGACTTAGCATAAAAGTATCGATGTAGGTGTACGTGCATCTAATTTGCAGAACTATGGTCAGACATCAAGAAAATCACGTCTGGTTCTCTTCGATAGATTCGTCTGCTCTAAATGAAATCCATAAAGCATATGGTCCAATATTCCATAAGTAGAGTATTATATTCGAAGGGTATAGTTGTGAGCCGCGATCGTCAATTTGTGGTAGATACTTGACTGTTTTTGCCCGGTTTCGGCCAATAGTAGTGATAAGATAAGGAGGCCAGGGACTGACTACCTTTGAATCACCCCCACCCATGTTTCACTCAGCTCATTGTGCTGAGATCTTTCTGTATCCTCAAGTCTCTGAGTTTTTCACACCGAAGTCTTCTGCATCAATGGATGCAAAGGGGCAAGTGCAAAAAAGACTAAACAGAAAGAAATATAGAGGATGGAGCAGCCTCCAACATTGTCACCTGCGGCGCTCGCCCGCCTCCTCAGCCGAAGAGTTCCAGCTGAGAAAAGGCAACGTACGCTGATGAGTTGCGACTTCTGTAAGCGTAAGCGTTGCAAGTGCTTTCGGCCAAGTGACAACGAAGCATGCCGCGCTTGTACCAAGCATGGTCAGGTCTGTCGCGTCACTGAACCTAGGAAGCAGAGAATCTATCATGGAATCTTGCCTGTGTCTGTTCCCGGACCAGCTGTACCTGAATCGTCGGGACAATCCTGCCCAAGCAGTGTATCAAAGCAGTCAGAGGCATTGCCATGCGACAGGTACTCTCTATCTCGACCCACGGGCTCAGCCCGTCGCGGCAGCGGCTTAAATAAGAACGATGAAAAACCACTCATGCAGTCTTCCCGCAAAGGCACCACAGCGGAGGCACTATTCGAGGATCTCCTCGGTCTTCCTCAATATATTGGTCCTACAGGATCATATACCCTGCTTGTCAGTCTACGCCAAATCTTTTCGGTCCGCTCGATATCATCAACCGTCCGTCCAGAGGCTGCACAGACGATGGGACTCTCGGTACAATATACGGACGGCACATCGCCAAACTACAGCCTTGATCTCCCACCACGAAACATTTCAGACGCTCTAGTCGACATCTTCTTTGCCAAGGTCCATCGCGACTTTCCTATATTCCACCGCGCCATTTTCCACGCTTCATACGAGAACATATGGTCACCACTACTACCTGAACGAGAGCCTGCATGGTTAATGACTTTTTACATGGTATTGGTCCTGGCACTAGAAGTGTCCCCTGATAATGGGTCTGTACAACAAAGGCTTGCTGCACAGTCTAAATACCTGGATAGAGCAAAAGCGCTCCTTCCAGAGGTCATTGTAGGCTGTACACTCGGCCATGTCCAAGCACTGATGCTCTATTGTCTCCAACTACACATCTCTCGGGAAAGAAATGCTTGTTGGAATATCATAGGCTCAACCATTCGGGTAGCCATTGCTATTGGCCTTCACCGTAATGGAACGAATCCGAAATGTAATCTGCTCGAGTGGGAGCTTCGAAAGCGGGTATGGTGGACACTCTATAGTTTTGAGCGGATTGAGTGTTCTTCACTTGGCCGCCCGTCTGCGATCGACGATGTTGAGTGCAACACTCCGGTCCCCACTGAGGGCTTTCTTGACATGGGGGATATCATACCAATAGGGTATTTGAATGCCCAGTCTACGCTCCTTGGGCTCATTGGCACGATATGCAAGAACCAATACAGTCTACATGATCTATCCGAGAGCCACGTTGATTTTGCCAAGGACATTTCTAGGCAAGTAGATGACTGGCAACATAACCTGTCTCCGCATCTGAAAGGAGTCTCGCAATGCTTATCATCGCATCTGCGATCAATAATTATGCTTCAGATTCTGTATCAGTACAGCGTTACGCTCCTGGCACGCCCTTTCCTTGCAGCCAAAATGTCACAGAACTCGACCTCATCGAGTAGTCCCACAAGCGGAATATCCGAGAAACTGGCGAAGCGATGCACTGATGCGGCTATCAGGGGCATGGAGCTCCTCAGCGAACTATTCGTGAACTCGGTGTTCAACTCTAAGACGTCATGGGATGTGTACTATATGGAAAGCTTTGCAATGATACTAGCATTAGGCAAGTTTGCCTACGAAGCTAATAAGACTTCCGAATATGTTGATCAGATTGTCATGTCTTTGGAGACAGGCTTGAACATAATCAAGAATTGTGATGGCTTCTCCGGTACGATGGAACGGTTCGCTCGTGTTACTACAGATCTCTCAAACCCTATCGTAGTGGCGGCAAAATCTCAAGGACAAGGTTCGCCGAGCCAGGGAGGCTCTCGTGAAGATACAGATAACACACCAGAGACACATAGCACCGAAACTCAATTGACTGATGCCGAGCATGGTCAAGACTTTGGAACAAGAAACGACTTGATGCACGATCTTCACTTCTTGGAGCCATGGGTTGAGCAACTCCCAGCGGCTGGATGGGGCCCAAACCTAGCCGATCCAAGCAATGGCATGAGTTGGGAAGAATTTGGGCAGTGGGTGCTACAACATCAATAATGTCAATTGGTTAGCAATTTTTTCAACTAGGAATTCAGGCAGCTTGAGTCGGCCTTGTAGCCGCAATAAGTTCCTCTTGAATTGCATGACTTGCATACCCCATGAATCTGACCATGATCTTTGCACTCTCCAGCACCCGTTCCTTGCTCCTACCTCGAGTGTCTCTTGCCCAAAACGCACCGTGAGTGTCTTCGAAATCAAGATCTGCAACAGCTTTCCATATGCCATGAACTTCATCCGGAGGCAGTGGGATCTGTCCACGGCCACTTGCATTAGCACTCTTGAGCCACCACGGGGGGTATAGCAAAGGTAAAAGGAGAAAGGGTTGTAGACCAATAGAAGGACTCCAGCTTACCATGTTTGGATAGGACCACATGAATGTGAAACTTGCAGTATCCGCAGGGCGATCGATGTGATACACGCCGCTCGGGATGACGGTTATGGAATCGGCGACAAATAATTTCTTCTCGCTCTTCCAGAGTAGCACAGAGCTTCCCGGAAAGTGCCCGCCAACTTTCACAGCGAGGAATTGCCCATCAAGGAGCTCCATCCTTTGTCCTTCCCAGAAGGAATGTGCCGGCCCTTTTCTCATCAACCACTCCTCATCCTCGGCTGATAAATACACCTTGCAGCCGAACGCTTCCGCCCAGTGCAGCGCAGTGGAGTAGTAATGGGGATGTGAGATGATTATGGCAGAGATTCCGCCGAGTGCTGTGATGCGTTGCACCGTAAGCTCATCGAGATAGGTAATACAGTCCCACAAAACATTGCCCTTTTCGGTGCACAGAAGAAATGCTCGCTGTCCAATAGCTACTTGTGGTTCAGTGAATATACTGACAACACCGGAATGGTATTTATCATGGCGAAAAACATTCTTATACTTTCCGGAGAGCTGCAATTCTCGCAGTGTCGTCCAAGTTTGGCTATGGGGCATCGCTAGTCAGTAAAAGCCAGTAGATTTCATGGTGTGGATCTCTAAAAAGGAGAAATATACATAAATGTGCAAGCTTGCGCCCACTTACCCATCAGGAGGGACATATTGTCTAGGATCATCGCATATTTTACACGACTTTGCTGAGCGAGTGTCGTGCTGGGCACCGCACATACCACATATCATGAGGTCCATCTTTGGGCTCAGGATTCGTTCGAGACTACTGAGTGATTAGATGTTTAGCAAACGGCAATCGTGTAGGTTAGCCGAATAATGTCATAGAGAATCTAAGATTTACGCTCAAGAGATCTATCATCAAACTCGTGGCAGCTTCTGCATTCAAGGAAACAGCCTCCACTCGTCTCTCTTATCACGCGAACGGATGTGATCCATCCCTGGGGCCCGGCCTGAAAATCATGTCATCTAGAAACTGTCAGATATCCTATTGGCAGGCTCACAGATCCGACCAGTAGTGTAGCGTGCTAGGGTCAGGTCCCACCGGTATCTACCCGTGAGCTAGCAGGCTGTCCTACTTGTTGCGGATCTGATAGCGATGGTTACTAGCACCCCCAACGTCATTGATGCAATGACACCAAGAACCTATTGGTAGCTAGGCATCATTATAGACTGAGGAGATAGGTGCTCAACATTGTTGTTAGGCATTACTGACTTGTAAAGGAGCTCATATAGACATAATACCAATGAATTAACCAACCCATGAGACGACAATTATTTCCGCGCATAGTTGAAAGTTTTGCACCTTAGCAGAGACAGATTATGGCAGATTCAAAAGAATCTGGGTTGCAATGCAATCGCTGTTACAATCAGGAGATAGAAGCGATGCGAGTCGCACATGAGAAGTCTATTCAGCGAAACCCTCACCCAGACTTCAAGAGCGTGGAGTCATCTCGGCCACAGTGGCGAAGCAAATCACCTGGCTTCTCTTACACGCAGACAGTCAGCCCAACCTGGACATTTGGTGAGGGAGGCACAGATGGCGGTGCGAGCCTAGCCAAAGCACAAATCGAGATTAACCCATATGCACCTGGCCGGCCAGCAATCTTTAACTATAAACTCATGATCTCGGGTGTTGCGCCTCGGCCTATCGCGTTTTTAAGTACGATTGGAAAGCATGGTGACTCTATAGTCGTGAGAGTTAGATAGGCAGTTCTTAAACTCTGCAGGGAAGTCCACCAACTTGGCCCCATTCAGCTTCATGAACATGATCAGTTATGACCCTCCGCTCTTCACGGTAGGCTTCACGGGGACCAGCCTCGATACTGCTAAAGATACTCTTAAAAATTTGATCGATACGGAAGAATGTAATGAACATCCTCAAACAGTATCGACAATCATTGTGGTGGGGCACTGTTAACTAATTGCACAAGGTGTGCTAAATATGATATCGGAACACTTTGTTGAAGCAGCCAATTCGACATCTGTGAATGTCCCATATGGTGTGAGTGAGTGGGACATAAGCGGTCTACATCAAGAGAAATCTTCATGCGTCAAGCCGGCACGGGTCAAGGAAGCAGTATTTGCGGTGGAGTGTCGACTTGTGGATGTACGAGAGTTTGAGAGTCGTGAAACTCCCGGCAAGAAAACGAGCGTGTTGGCCATCTTGGAAGGAGTGACTTTTTGGGTGAGAGAGGATGCGGTCAATGAAGACAAGAATATCATCGACCCTGCGGTAAGTCTCCTCAATCACGGATCATTTTAGTTCTTCGAAAGCAGCTGATAATATTCGGGAGATTCTTCGCCCCGTGAGCCGTTTAGGAGGAATTACATATGGGCGTACTACGGAGGGATTTGAGCTTCTACGTCCTGACTTTGAAGATGTCATTCAGGGCAAGGTTGCGAGCGGGTTGGGAACATCATGAAGGCGAACAAAAGACCTAATTCAGCTGTAATGCTAGTCTCTCGAGTGGCTCTGTAGGCCGCCCTACCCTGACAATGGCCGCCTTGTTTCGCAAATCCATCACAATGCTAAATAGTGTAGCAACACTAGCCTGCTTTGATACTGCCTTGTTGATCGAAGCTGGGTAGTTGTCCTCATCCTCTAGAATGCTACTTATTGTACCTATGGCCTCAACTGTCGTCGCCTTTGTTCCGAGTTGTTCTAGCAGGCTGTTCAGGCGATTTAAGCGATGCTGAGAATCATGAAGGAATATGTTCTCTTTGATGGGGCCATCCGGACCTGTATGCGGCACAAGCCAGTGATTTGTGTGCGAAAACTTCCCGTTGCGGACCGGCAGCTGCACAGTATCACAGTGACTCAACTCGAGGCCCATCGCCTCTTTGGCATCGGCGACCAGAATATGACATGAAGCTGCAGCGCCCGTTTCGGTCAGGCCTTTCACGGCTTCTTCTGCCGAACTGCACTCCAGCGCGGATCGCAGCGCAATGTGAACCGGTAGTCGGTTGAAGTCAACACCCCGAGCACGAATTGCATTAAGGCATACGCCGACACCTGTCGAATTGAACCCAATCTTGCCTATAATACCTGCCTCAGTAATCATGCTGATTGCAGGACGGCTTGCTGGCTCAAGATGCAACGCAATCAAGTTGGCACCCTGCGCCGTTTCCCAATCCCAATTTTGAGCCAGTACACCGCCTTCATTTGGTTCTATTGACTTATAGAAGAGCGAAGTACAGCCATCACTTGGGAGAGCAAGACCCATGGATATCTCTGTACGGACGTTGAGAGCGAGAATGTCGCAAAACGGTAGGCTAGCCCCCGTGGCGATACCACGGATCTCTTCGACAAGGTGCGGACAGTGTCTACTTAGAAACGGGAGGAAGCCCTCTGCTGCTGTAGTTGTGGCATGCCAATCGAGATGCGATTTGGACTGGAAGTAAGCTGAGTAGAACTTGATACTTCCGATGATAAGTTCTTTGGCTAGATCGCCGTGTCGCAGTCCCATCTCGAATGGGCTACCGCTGCAATGAATCTGTAGCATTGTTGCGACCACTGCGCCTTGATAAGGCAGTATGGCAGTGCGTATCTCGGGGCGGAATGAAATGACTTGCCTGTAATACTCAAGATCAACACAGAATGTTCTATCGCTTTATCAACTGCGAAGCGGGCTCGGGCGATAAGTACCCGAACACACATCCGACTTCGGTACGGTCCAATTGTCTACTAAAATACACCTCAGCGCTTATCTAGTACTGCCGTGATGGCACTGTTTCCAATTGCATTGGTCCCTAGTGTGTTCGGTCGTCTCTTTATGTACGTAAAGTCAAGTCCTGGTCGCTAAGAAATAATGTTCATAGTGTATTTAATTGAGACCATGGCAATCAACACAAATCACAGAATGTTCTAGTACACTATTTACAGACCTCGTTATGACCGCTAGATCACTTTACGAGAGTCGTTGATTGAAGCTTTTGTTATACAGGCCATAGATCGTATCTCCATTTCTCAAGCCGCCAACCTGGCATTCCCAAGCGCTCTCTTCTCTCAAATTGTGTGGCTCTCCCGCCAACTTGGGAAACAGTCTTAAAGCATTGTTTCTGCCAATATCTACGAGGTCATGCTGATTCATTTGAATCTCGTCGAACCACTTGCATGCATTCGGGATGCTCTCAAAGGGGTAGTCCATGCTGAACAGGATACTCCTTGCACCGACTTCCGTGATGGAACAAGTCAAAGCAGGCGTGCTGAAATGGCCACTGGTGGTAATGAAGACTTGATCTCCGAAATAATCCCGTACCAGCTTATCCTTTCTCATCTTCATGGTAGGGAATCTCTCGCGATCTAGTTTGTGATCAATGCGATACATTTCGAAGGGAATATGTTCTCCCATATGACCAATCACCAACTTGAGATCAGGAAATCGGTCAAGAGCGCCGGCAGTAATGATAGCCAGTAAATGCATGTTGACTCTGTTTGCAAATCCCAGAACGCTGAGGTTGAGCCATGGCCGCTCCTTCCACATTTGCGCGTCAATCAACGGGGTCGGTGTTCTAGGATGAATATAGACAGGGGCTTTCAGTTCAGCGGCCACTTTCCAGAAGTCGTCATACCGTGAATCGTCGTAAAACAACATGGTATTGCCGTCAGGTCCGCTGCTCTGAAAGTCGTTCAGTAGTGCTCCAACGAAACCTTTCTTGCCTGTCATACATCTCCTCAGCTCGTCAGCAGCTTGTATAGGATTGTGCATGCTCAAGGCGGCGAAAGCCGCAAAGCGTGACGGGTTCTTTAGAACCTGCTCCTCGAGATAATCATTCGCACTCGTAGCCATTGCTGCAGCTGCAGCCGGGTCAGCGACTGCTTGACATCCGGGTGCATTCAAAGAAAGAATCATGAGCTCCACGCCGTTCTCGTCCATCTGACGCAGTCGATGGCCATGAATATCGAGAAGGTTGGTGTTCAGGTCTTCTTCAGGGGATGCATTGGCACGAGTGAAACCAATCGGGCTGTTATTAAACAATGATGTGGGCAACGCAAACGCCTCTTCGAAGACAATCTTGAATTGCATCGTGACGAGTCGAAGAAGATAACAGCACTCCTAGTTTCGCCTTCTAACATAAAAATGACTTTAAAACTTGATGCACAAATTCAGTCTTCCTTTCTTTTTCTTTCTTTCTCATCTTCTCTCAACGTTAACTCGATTCTACCCTTCCAATAAGAATTCATAAACTGTATGTCTAATCTAGGGGTTCCAGGCTAAGCTGCAACTGAATCCGCGGGTGGCAGTTTGCGATTTGCCTATCGTCAACCCCGGTCATGCAGGCGCTGATCCGGCAAGCAACGGATACCCGTTCAACTAGGTCGTATTCCTTTAGCGTGGACTGAATATTGTCTTGTAGCCCTTGACAAGGATCCTACCATTGACTATGCGACTTAACCATAGGCATCCACCTTCTTCTAGACCTAGTATGGTCCTACTTATAGATATCACAAATTCAAAGCCTACGGCTGGTAAGAGAGGAAAGCGGATGGGCTGTCCAGACTCCTTCAACTATGTTCTCAATGCCAGCATATCTCTCTCGAGATGACAGTTGAAAACATATTTTCACAGAGGCCTGGAAAGGTACCTTGCCAATCGCGCTAGATGGAGGCCATAAGCATAGGGCGTTTGCTAAGCAAATTATTTCACCTTGGCGCAACTATTCCGAGCCTTACGCTGTTCATATAGATGTAGGCACATACCTTTTAGTTGAGATCTATCTAGGTACATGGATACATCAAAAGACCTCCAATCATCGCAGCTATTAAAGCTCATATGAGTGCCTAGCATTGTACCTAATCACCTACGACAGTGCGAACTGCCTTGTCAATCACCTCACCTGGATTCTGCAACTTGTACAAGTGCCTCTCCATGGCTTCAACTTCTTGCCACCTGGCATCTACATCATGCTCAAGAAGCCACCAATTGATGGTGAACCTTTCTCTATACCTTCTTATCCACTCTTGCTCGTCTAGCGCTGCTGCAACATAGGCAATGTCCACTTTATCCATTTTTGTCTGCTGCTCAACACGTTGCAAGAAGTAGCGTCTAGTCTCATTGTATAGGTGTAAAGCATATGGAATATCATATGCTGATGCATCTGCTGCAGAAGCGTTTGGTGCGTGCGTGCGCCAAAGTGAGAGGTAGAGAGCTCGCACATCCCCAAAGGCGAATGAGCAGCCCGCTCCATATGCACCAGCTGTAGCTAGGAGGAGAAAAATAGTCAGTATTTCCTCTAATTCAGCTTTCGCCTTTGGCCGAAACATACGATGAGCAGCATCGCCTATGAAGGCTACCGCATTATCACGGATCAGGTCTTTCATCCAAGGCGCTGCTTGTAAAGGATACGCCTCGACATTTGGAAGAACACGGATGACTTCGCTTATTATTGGGTCCCACTCCTATGGACTAGTTAGATGTCAATCATAGTTAGATTAAACTGTAAGCCTGCCTTAAAATGCTCTAGCAGCCTCTCAATGCCTTTCTGACCCATGGAATGCTTCCATCTTAAAGTGCTTGCGTATTCTTCGGTTTCTGTCGCCATTGTTACGAAAGAATAAACTCCAGGTTCTATCGTGAAAATCATATAAGCCTCTGAAAGGTCTCTGACTGTAACATATAGACTCACCAAGCTTCGAAAGAAAGACAACCTCGCCGTTTCTTCGCCAAGATGAGGTGTCATCTGGCAGTCCCTTGATGTGCTCTACCAGCTCCACCGGAATGTTTTGTCGATATGACACCCGTCCTCTATAAGCAATTTGCCCGTCTGGTAGATACTGGCGTCTGATTTTCTACATATAGGTTAGTCATGGGTCTTATTGCAAGACAATGATAAAGGCTCACAGAATAGAGCCCGTCCGCTGCGATGACCAGGTCGGCATCTTCTGTTTGCCCGTCTTCAAAGTGAATAGTCATGCCACCTTGCGCTCTGTTCTCAATTTTTATGACATGACACTCATAGGTCATAACCCCCTCTGGCACCTCCTTCATGAGTATATCATGAAGGGCAACCCGGCTGATTCGGCCCTCTTGCATGTGTCGTGGAGTGTGCGGGGAAATTGCATAAGTCAAGATCTCACCGGTCCGCCAATACCTGTGAATGATACCTTCAATGCCAGTGCCGCGATATAGAAGATGCTGCAGCCTATTCCATCCAGCCGGAGAGAGCATTCTTGAAAGAGATCGAACAGCTGATTACATTCTGTTAGTATATCATGGCGTACAGGTTTTTGCCAAAGTCATAGAACGCAGACTGACCATAAGAGACAATTCACTTACCAGAAACCATAACACCAATCAATGCTCCTGCCTCACGAACTTTGTCAGCTCTCTCGTATACCTTTATGTCGACATCTGGAAGTCGAGAGAGTGTTCCGGCAGCTGCCGCTCCTGCCAGACCTCCGCCCACAATCCTGCTACGTGTTAACCATCATCACATAGTTCGATAAGTCTTTTCTTTGAAACTTTTGCAGATTTTTACCTTATCTTGAGTCGTCGCAGTGCAGCTGTCTCTGGTGCCAAAGCTCTTGGTAAAGCGCCATCAATTGGGTAGAAATCGGTTGGGCGACTCAGACCAGGGGCTTGCGAGACAAAGCCGTTGACTAGGTCATCATCCACGTCACCATTAGTCAAGTGATCGCTATCTTCGATGCCTTTGGTGTATGGGTTTCCAAGAGTACCCTCGGGAGCAAGGCTTTTGAGCACCATCGCAACTTTTCTAAACGCAGTCGAGATAGTACTCATCAAAGCATCGTGTGGTGAAGACATATCATTTATTAGCCCCTTGTACTTTTGAAAGTTTAAAGCCTTGTTGCGGTTGTCGTATCTGATACCATCAACTCTGTGACGTGCTTATCGGAGTTAGGATCGCGCTGATAGGTGCTTACGGCGGGAGGTAAGCAACACACTTGTACAATAATTAGCATGCCATGACGGAAGACCAACGAAAAGCCGAAGCGCATGCAGAGACTGAGGGAAGATAGTGTCCGGGTCAACTGCATTCTGCGCGAAAAGGCATCCCCATCAGGCCCAGGAAGCACAACGAGCACTTCGATGGAGTGCGCCACTGGCGAGATACACCATAGTCGTCGACCATGCTAGAAAGGAGCTAGCGTCGGATACCCGCCACAACGGACCGGATGTTTGTTACGTATCTCTTGTGACAGCCTCCTATCAGTCTATCTATCTGCCAATGGATAAGTCGATCTTATTCTAGTGATAGCCAGACGCTGTAGGCAGTATGGCAAAGAACACATCTCTCCGTGTCTTATCAAACTCAACCTCTCAGCTTTCCTCATGAAATGTTTCTGATCTTCTATTAGAGTATGATTGGCATTGAGTAACCTATTGCGGAGAGCCTACTAACTTGAATGATAGCTAATCCAGTTTTTACCTCGAAAAGCACTAGGCAATAGACCATACCAAAACAGCCTGTTTTGTTTAGATTGGTTTTAGTTCTTATCTCTTGGCCAAGACCTATCGTAACAGCCTCAGACACCTTGGTCAATCATGATCAACTCAAACTTGCAAGCCATGGGTCCATTCAAGCATAAAACCAGCTAAAATCACAGCCATCTAGTTGACTTGTACATCAGTTCAATTGATCATTTAGTAATCCCAAAGCCCCACTCCGTTGCTTCTTATCCCCGAGTCTCAAGGTGTACACCCACAGGAGGGTGGCAAGAAAAAAAAAGCAAAGTCTATCAGAACGCACCACACAAACACCGACCAGCACATATTGAGTAATGGGCGAGAAACTGCCGACAATGATGATTGCAGAGAAACAGCCCATAGAAAATGCCGACTCCTCCGAACTTGCTCTTGCTGAAGAGGGCACCAGCAACATAGGGATAGATCCAGAGGCAGAGAAGAAACTGGTCAGGAAAATGGACATGTTCATTCTTCCCGTGATATTCGTGACCTATGTTCTCAGCTTCCTGGATCGAAGTAATATTGGAAATGCTAAGGTTGCCGGATTGCCTGCGGATCTTCATCTCCACGGGTCACAGATAAACAGTACGCTGCATCAAATTAATTTCGCTTGTTTAACCTTACTAATAACTCTGAAAGTGGCTGTGTCGATCTTCTATGTCACCTATATCTTGTTCGAATTTCCCGGCACGATGCTACTGAAGGTTGTTGGGCCTTCCAAGTTCAGTCAGTTCCGGAAGCCTATGTCACTCACCAACATTGTGCTCATCTAATGTGCCTGTAGTTCCAATTCTCATCTGCTCCTGGAGCTTGGTTGTCACTTTCTCCGGTTTCCAGAAGAATGTTGGATCTCTCGTTGCGTGCCGGCTTCTGCTGGGAATGTGCGAGGCCGCGCTACTGCCGTCACTTAATCTTTACATCTCCATGTTCTGGAAACGTGAGGAGATTGCTAAGAGATCATCTGTCATCTTTGTCTCGATCACAATATCCGGGGCCTTTGGTGGCCTATTTGCATACGCTCTGCTACAATTGGACGGCGTTGGCGGCTATGAGAGCTGGAGATGGCTCTTTTTCATCGAAGGAGCCATCAGCTTCGCTTGGGGAATCTGTGCTTTCTTTCTTTACCCGGACAACCCAAGCAAGGCTTATTTTTTGAACGCCAAGGAGAAGGAGCTCGCTCATATTAGACTTGAGCCTAATGCTGATAGCAAGGTGGACTGGGTTCAGGTCAAGGCCGCATTCACATCCCCAATATGCTGGCTTTCCGGAGTCATTCAGATGTTTGCAGATGTCTACAACTACAGTGAGTCGATCCACTTAGACTTACTCCGGAAGGATGATATACTGACGAGAGGCGCTGCGACCAGGTATCAGTGTGTTTCTCCCCACAATCATTCAGGGCATCGGCTACAAAGGCCTCAGTATTCAATATATGACAATCCCGATTTATGTCATTGGCGCCCTTGGCATTTTTGGTTTCGCTGCCATATCAGACCGTATTCAGCGCCGTGCTCCAATTATGCTTAGTGGCAGCCTGCTGACCGTGATCGGATATTCTCTATTGCTAGGTACGAAAAACGCCGATGCTCGCTATTTTGCCTGCTACCTAGTCGTCTTGGGTGGAAATGTACTACCCTGCTTGAACATCATCTGGATCAACGGCAATACAGCGTTTCAATATAAGCGTGGCACTGCTCTGGCTATGAATCAGATTATTGGTAACATTGGAGGAGTTGTCTCTGGCCAGATCTATTTAACAAATGAGTCGCCCTATTATACCACCGGACAGTCTGTGGCTTTGGCGTGTTGCTTGTCGTCTTGGCTATGCGTTTGGATAATGCTTTTTCTATTATCGAGAAGAAACAAAGACAAAGCGCGCAAGATACGAGACGGCATTGACGATACAGGTCTAGGCGACGAGAGTATCTATTTCAAATACCAACTTTAGTGAACAGAACAGGAAGGTATCTAGGAGATTCAACTCCTAGCACTGAGTTTCTAGTCCAATGAGGCAGCGATACTATAATACTATAAGATGAAGGAAGATGTTCAGACTCGACTTCATTGGTTCACCGTAAAACCTAGAGACTAGATCCCGATAATGATACGCAGCGAGCTCTTTGGTGTCTAGTTGTAGTGGAGCCATACTCTCAACTCCTCGCCATATCGACAGAATCCCTTCCGATTATTTCCCAATGCCCTGATCTAAGAGCCAACAAACTCCTTCTTAGTGCCTACATTCTGACGACAGTCGTGTCATGCGGTCGCTGCGGATGCTCGTTGAGGTCTTATAGGGTCGGATTACCATGCGTATGGATAGCGGACCTCATGATTCATTACGCTCTTGCCTAGACTCTTCCAAAAACAAAATTCTGTCATTTTTTCATATTCACGACCCAAGCTTCATAGCCATGCATTATTCTTGACATACGTGATATGCCGAGGAAGACTTTGCTTGAAATACCTCTTGTAAGTCATTTAAAGCCTCAAAAAATAGCCTGTCAAATATCTTTAAGAACCGTCTGGCAAGAAAGCTTCTCTTTGTTCCCAGTCCATCTCTTTAGTATTAGTATTTGCCACAATCTATGTTTCAAGCTCTGTTGCTCTCCCAATTCTTGTTCGTCGGCCACTAGGATATATCTCGATATAAGCGATGAACTCCTTTTTGTCTCTAGATTCTTGGGTGCAGCGGCAGCGGTACGATTGGACCTATCTAGCCTTTGTGTATATTCTAAGATGATGTTGAAGGATTTTTCCCTATGCGCAGAGCTATGTTTCAGATATGTGTGGATTACTTAGGAATTTTAACAGACCAGGATTGACTCCAGTTCTCCTTGCCATTCCCCACGGGGTTAGCATTTGCTTCCTAGCTTGCTTCTACAAACCCACCCACCTATTCCATATTAGTGGCGGAGTTGCAACTAGTAAGTTTCTAATCAGGAAACAAGCAGCGAGTTTAAAGAGGTCTCGTACCCATAACTGGTGCGGAGTTCCATTCCCACGACATGTGCTGCAATTACTAGCGTAGAGACTACATGAGCAGCCAAAATGTCTGTGTGCTCAGCATAGTCCATAGTATTTCAGTTCTCGCAGGTGTAGAAACCATCATATAAGTCAAGTCTCTCACTTGACTTGAATTGGTTTCCAGATTGTCAGTTTTTAACTGTCTAATTATCGAATCCGGAGAAACTGCTTCACCTGTCTTCAACATGGCTTCAAACGCGGGCAGCCGCTCCGAACACCACGAGGATGTTGATGCCTCCGATGCCAACACATCAAATAAGCAAGGCGTAACACGTACCATGCTTTTCTTCACCATTTGGATTGCCTTCGCTTCATGGATATCCAACTTTGACAATGGGTACGCTGGCACCGTCATCACAATGCCTGCCTTCAAAAGCGCTTTTGGATCCTGCGAGACGACCATTGACGCGGCCACCGGGGCCCCCACCACAACATGCACCTTGTCAGCGATGAAACAGTCTTTGATCAACTTGGCCAGTCTTTTCATGGGCGTCGGCGGAGTCCTGTCCGGCCCGACAGGTTATTATCTTGGCCGCCGTGGGACCGTCGCATTCGCCTCTGCGCTGAGCGTTGTGGGTGCTGCCGGTATGCTGGGGACCTCTGGAAGCTACATCAACTACATGGTCTGCAGATGTATCAGTTCTGTGGGTCTTGGCCAAATGCTGGCGGCGACAAGCATTTATGGGGCGGAGTGCGTTGCCGCGAACAGGAGAGGTGTTTTGCTCGGTCTGTTCAATGTCGGTCTAGCAATGGGTAACGTTGCTGCTACGGCCGTATGCGCAGGCTCCGCAACTCTCGATCCGAGCAATAACTGGCAGTGGCAGACGCCGGTCATATGTCAAATTCCTTTAGGAATTCTCCTTGGAACAGGCATATGGATGTTTCCCGAATCACCTCGATGGCTGATGACAAAGGGGAATGAGGAAGCTGCGCGCAAGTCTTTCGGCAGGTTTTATGGTAAGCCAGCTTATTCACAGCAGATCACGACGCAGATCAACGACGTCTTGAGACATTTAGAGTCCGAACGAGCTCTGGGCTCGACAACATCCTGGACAGAGATATTTCATCGCGCCGATATTCGCCGTACATCGGTGTCTGCTCTGATCCTGGTGGGCTTAGCCATCAGTGGTATACAGTTTGTGGCACCATATACGGCATTGTTCCTCCAGGGTGTGGGAGTCTCCAACTTTTATGTCATAAACGTCATCATTGGAGTCTCCATCCTTGCCGGGGCCTCAATTGGTTCTTGGACTGTTGAGTATGGTGGCAGACGATTCTCTTTGATTCTGGGCTACTCGATACTGTCTGTATGCATGCTCATCGTCGGGGCCGTTGGCACGGCCTTGGACCAGAGCAATCCTATCGCGCAGAAAGTCTTAGTGGCGTTCCTCTGCATCTGGGCATTCGTCTTCGGGGGTTTTATTGGACCCTGCGTGTGGCTAGCCTCAGCTGAGATGCATTCTGTCCGACTACGAACTTACGGTCAAGCCAACACTACCTTATTCTACGAGATCTTCGCCTTCGGGTCGTCTTTCTGGACACCTTATATGCTGAGCGCAGATTATGGTAATATGGGAACGAATGTGGGATATTTCCATTTTGGTGTGTCGGCGGTCCTTGCCGTTCTCATGTTTCTCTTCGTTCCTGAGACAGCGAGGCTCACCCTCGAACAAATCGATGAGTACTTCACATCCGGTCGGAAAGCGTGGCACACATCAACCAGAAGAAATAAGCTTATTGCAAGTGGTACAGAGTCGGACACTGGTGTACTTGGAACCGAGCTTGAGCAAGCTAAGGCCTGAAGCATCAATAAAGAAGAGCGGATATGTGCCAGGTGAAGGGACAGAGGTAATATGGGGAACGTAGAGGAGGGAAATGCGCAAACACTTTGTACAATATGCTCAAAACTATGCATAAGTCTTAGGGTGTCAATTGCATCCTAATGCCATTCGAGTACCTGCTTGAAACTTTCGTGTTGATGCCATAAAATTGCAATATCCTATCCGTCGAATTGCTATCCAATGGATATGTGTATCCCTAAGGTAATGCGGTCTCGCTATGGCTGCTGTCCATTGGGCATTATAGTATGCAAACATCTTGTCATTGATTGGTGCTTCCGAGCAATCCGTTGGCGATTGGTGTGAAAGCTCGCTTGATGATTTCTCAGTATACTGAGGTCGACATATCAGAGTATTCGAGTTTATTTCCATCGAGACTTCAATCAGTTTGCGAGATTTCAAATTCAATCGGGGTTTTTTCACTTTTTCACCGTGATTCTGCTGTCGACCAAAAACCATATCTTCTGGTCCTTTTATATCTTTGTCTACCTCTTCAGGTCTTCATAAGCTTGAAGGAGCGTTGGCGCGAACTCAGCAGGCTCTGCTTCAAATCCACCGTGATGACCAGCGAAGACATAATGTTTGCACTTCAAGATCTCTGCCTGTTTGAGTGTAGTCCTAGCATACCATGCATCTCCGCTCTTCTCTCCTGCACCCACTGCGATTGAAACCCCGTTCTTGACAATTTGTCGGATATCTGGGCAGTAGATAGTAAAGTAGATAAACTCATACCTAAAGAAAAGCTAATGATCAGCCTCGAAGCCGCAATAGATAAGCATGAGGAGCTTACTGCCAGAAGTTCTCCCAATCCATTTCGGAGGGCCGCACAAGGGGAGGACTATTTTCGTAGCCCTTATGCTCCTCTATAAAACGCTGGTGCGCAACTTCAGCTCCGTGGGTGTGGTAGGCATCCAGTATCATGAATGCTCGGTCTATGTGGTAAGTCGTATCATCTAGAACGACCACCGTCGGGGCCTCGTGAGCAACTACCCGATCCACATACGCTGAGTAGCTGACGGATAGTTGCAGCGCGATAAGTGCTCCGCCACTGTTGCCGAAGATACACGCTTTATCTTGCCCCATAGCTTTGATAATCGCAACAACATCCCGTGCCTGTTGAGCTAAGTTCAGGTGCTTGGACACTTCGACTTTGCTGTTGCCGTTTTGACGACGATCGAAGGTACAGACTGTGAAATTCTTGTCTAGATATGGAAAGATGGCGTTGTATGTCGACCCAAGCCCGCCTCCACCGGGAATCATGACGAGCAGAGGACCCGAGCCCTGGTACCAATAATGCAGACTGCATCCTTCAGTCTCTACAGACTTGTAGACTGGATTGAACGACATTCTGTGATGAATTTACCGTCTCATGCGCGCCGGATGGAAGAAAACTTCCGCGCAACCTTCTCGGAGCCTTTTCCTTTTTTATAATGCTTGAATCTAAGCAGACTACGACGCAGCTAAGTGCGTAACTTTGGGTGGTAGAGCGTGAGGGTGTTAACAAGTCAACTGCTGTTGCACAAGAACGGCAGCGGCGCTTAGCCGTTTCTAGTGCGGAACGTATGTGCATAAGCAGGTATAGCCTCTTTTGGGCGCAAGACTGCATCCATCCGTCTTCGCTGGTGACTGATGGCATCCAAAATCGGCAACGAAAACAGGGCAATTTGCGCAATCCGGTAGCCCCGGGGTGCCGTTGTGCGCCGGTCAAGCGAATCGATCTTTTCGCCTATCCTGGCCACGCCCTACTTCCACATTGGGACAGGTACGGTTATCCCAGCAGGATATGAGTCGCGACCCTTAAGATTCGGTATCAGATCTGGAAGTGGGTCATTTCGACGAGCCATTGTATATCTTAAGAAACTGTCTAGGTGTGAGACTACAGTTCTAGGGGATTGTAGACCAAGTATTTACTCCTCAATGTAGCGAAGCGTGCTTCCAATTGACTTGTTGCAGACTGCCGAGACGTGCGTAGGATAAGGAGCTTGCCGCGATACGACGATCTTTATTATTCTCAAGGTCTATCTCTTCATGAAAGCAGCTATTCATTGAGCCATTGATACTGGTTATCCATAAAGTTTTGAACGCTTTCTGGCCAGTCCAGCCCTGGGAGCCTGTCGTTGATCACATATCCCTTCTGTGCCAGGAGCCATGCTAGACACCTGTAGCTTTGTCTAGCTGTCGACGGGTTAAAGGAAACACTTGTACTTGCTCCCGGTACGACTGGAATAATCGAGTCTCTCTCATAGATAGCTTCTAGAGTTAACATCTTCCATCCTTCGGCTGTTCTTTCAAGTCGGGAGACGAAGCGCGTCCACGAGACACAGTCATAGAAAGATCCGTCTCTCTCAAATCGCACTGTTATACTGCCCGTAGACAAGGACAACGCTTTAGCACCATTGAATGCCACTTCTATTGGCGAGATGGTGTGCGAGGCGGCCGCGCCTCCGTCAGCCATCTGCTTTGACCCAGACACGAAACCATCTACGTCCCCGCCGTACCTAGACCAAGCATTTCAGCTTTCTGGGCAAGTCAAGTTGAGTGAGATTACGTCCGATGTCTTACCATGAAATGTTGATGGCAGTCTTGGACGCATCGGGGTGATAGCTGTCACGCAGCTTTTGCCATTGCATGGAGTCTCGATAAAACCGCTCACGAACCAACAAGGCCTTGATTTGGATCTCGTCCATTATCATCGATGGATCCATACTGATTATTCAAGTATACAACGGCGCTCGCTTGCAAAGTCGCAGTTAATGACTGCTAAGTCGATTTCTTGACTGAAGATAAGTCGGCAACACATATAGCCGCAGCAGGGACGAAGATATCAGTCAGAGACAGGACGAACGGAAGAATTGACAAGTGATGAGAGCCGACAAAGCCCTGTTATTCATAGAACCCCGCCGTTTCAGGAGATCGGAAAAGACAGGCGGAATTGCTTGGTGCCACAAGTATCTGTGTAGCGCACGGCGGGCGTCAATTGCCCGATGTAAGACTCGCTTGCGCGCCAACGAGGCCCACTTGTCGCTGCAAGCCTGATGTGTGCGGATATCTGCTTTAGGAGGTCAGAAGCAACTCGATCGTCACTGTGTCAACTGCTCAAGGATGTTGAACTGACGGACTAAAGAACACGAAGCAAGGAGCAATTAAACGACTCGATCCCCTTACCCAATAGAGATACTAGCGCAAAGGCGGACACTACAAGTAGATGCGAGATTCCCAAGTGGCTCTTGTCGTTTCTGGAATCTGTCGCGTGCCCGCTTCAAATTGGGGAACGCGCGGCTGTCAGCTTTGTCGACTTGCAAGAATTCCATCGCTGCAAGTGAGCGGAGCTTTCCCCTTTGGTAACTCCGCCCTCGATTTGGAAAAGGTGAAGGCAGTGGGGGCCCAAACAAAAGGATTCCAGAATGCGCGCGCACGAGTCATGCGTTTTCCAAGGCACTTGCACAATGGCCGAAGACACCTGCAGCTGCATGTCCCTCTTTGGCGCACTGATGTTTCAACAGCACAGTTGGCATCTTCGTCAACTTTGCGGAGCTTGTAAAGCTGGGAAGTACATTGCCAAGGGGCCGACATAAAGACTTCGTAGGTGAACTACCGAGAATGTAAACGATAGGGCAATTGCTGTCCTTTTGGAACCCTTTCAGCCTTCGACAGGGCTGTTTATGCCTACTAGCAAGCTCTTCGCTTGCCCTTGCACACTCTCGCCGTTTCTACCATGGTAGCTCTGAAAGCAAGAAATTGTTCTCAGATGCCTAAATTCCATGATCATACAAACTAAAAAATAATTAACGAACATGAGTAAACAAACATTTGTACAACTGCTACCGGTACTTTATGTCACAGAGGTCCAGACGCAAAGAATGGCATCCATCAATGTCCGCGCCCGTACTACTCGGGTTTTCACTCGGCATGCTGCAAGTCGTGCACGTAGTCCATACTGTCCCAATCGGTGTACCAATCGAGATTGTCAAGAATGTCGTTGCTAAAGAATTGGTCGTGACTCGAGATGCTCAAGCTGTCGTGCTTGGTTCCGTCGCAAATGTCCAGATCATGGAGACTTCCACCATCCGGACTCAGCTGAGCAGACGCATTCGACCACTGAGCCAGAGTGCTGTGAGGGTCTGGCTGACTTTGCTGCTGGGCCGAGTAGCGTCGACTTGCTTCATGGAGCAAGCGGACCGACTCGAGACACTGCTTTGCCATCAATGACCACGGTTGCAGGTCCAACAGTGCAGCCTTGGCTACCTCCACCTGTCGCGAACAATCCGCTACAATGTCTGCATCTCGATAGTCCGAGAACATGGAGAGTAATGGAACCATGGCTGCTTGATACAAGATCCACGCCGCATGCGTCCCGGAAAACTGGCAGGCCTTTTGCCCCTGCCACGTCGTTGCTATATCCGTGATCAACTCGCCACCGGCTTTTCTGCACGTTTCGATCGAGTCTATCTGGTGGGAAGTCATGCCACCGCGGTTCGTCTTGCGCATAGCGTGCAACAACAATAATGGCCGATGCAGGATGATTCTTGATAGGCGGTACCTCCATCTGAGCACATTTTTGCTTAGCATGATACGCGCTGGTTCATTTGTTCCATTGTCGTGCACTGAGGAAGTCCGGAACCACTCTGTCAGAGCCTCGTCTAGTTCCTTGCGCTGATCGTCGGCGATCAAAGGGGACATTGCCATCGCATCCTCAATGCGTGTGCTAATCATGCAATACCCGACACTGTCCTCAAAAAACTTCGTCATAGTCGCAGAATTTCCCTGCACAAATGTTTAAATGTGACTCTTGTATCAAAGGCCTGTGAGACTCACGATCGGCTCGGTAGGAACCTTGGTTGTCACCGCGCCACTCAACCGGCCCATGCTCGGGCGGCCGAGTCCATTGCAGCCCCACGTATCCATGTTGAAAAGTGACCACCAGATCCTAGAACGCATTTCTAAGGTGAGAGGAGGGCTGGCAC